AATCTTGTACTATCTTATATTGTTAAATAAATTATTTTTTTACAAGTACGTATTAAAATAATATTTCACATTATTCTACATTAAAAAATGTAGGAAGCAGATAAATGCCAAATAACACATGTTGTCGCAAAGTGTTAAGCACCAAGTAAACTTTGCTCCATAGTAATTTCCATGCTTATTTTTCTAGTTCATTCATATTTACGAATTTGCGAGCTACAGAGCGTCTTTGCGCGCGACTACCTTTTCCCCAAGTGACAATCAACGTTTTAATCGACATCGATCTAACCAAGGAATGTTTGTGCTTTCAGCGATCTACCAACAACGGACCAGCAGCGCCCAACTGTACCCGTGTGACACCTGTCCCAGGCAATACCGAAGAATCATTTCTTTGCAACGTCACAAAAGACTCGAGTGCGGCAAGGAAGCCAAGTTCGGATGTATGATGTGCCATGCCAAGTTCAAGCACAAGCATAGTCTACTGAGGCATTACAACGTTCACGTGTTCGACATGAAAGACTCGTTCGCGAACGAGAAGAACTCCGCTTGACAGGCAAAACGTCTGAGGCTCGCGAAAAAGCAACCACGGCGTGATAGCAGAAATTTTCGAACCGCTGAACAATCACGAGTTGAGGACACAGTAGAGATATAAAATTGACACGTTTATTCTCGCGAAATTATACGACTATAAATTACGAATTATGTATGATTAATTAATTTCACGCTACTTGCTCGGAGTTCTTGAGTTTCTTACTTCTGTACTTATTTACAGTATTTTCTGTTACTAAAATCCAGCTATACTAACTTAGAAACATTATTTTTAGTTAACCCTTCTTTTTTTTGTAGAAATACAATAAAGTGGTCGTGAGAAAAAGTTATCGCGACAAATACCAAATAATAATATATAAAATGGTTCCTAAGAATATTATTAATGCCTGTTTCGTTAAACGCTACAATAATATGGAAGCGGTACTAATAATAAGTGTTAGTTAACTATGTTTATTAGCGACATTTTGAACTTCCAAAATTGGGAAACGAGATTCTATTGCGCTTATCACATCTTATAGCAGAATAATCTGCAAAAATATCTCCCCAAATATATGTTGCGTCTTAAAAGCCAAACTAGTCGACACTAGTTGACCTGTTAATTTCTTTCTCTTTCGAATAAATTTTTTTCCTTGTTGAACTGCAATTTTAGACGATTTCACTGGTTAGGATTGTCTGATATTGGAAATAATTGCTTGAAATGGAATGTTTGTCGCAAAATCAATCTCAATTGTGCGCGCACATCCGAGTTGATTTAATGTAACTTTAATAACATTTAAAGTTAATAACATAAACAGTTGTCATTAATTTTAGTACAATAAAAATTTTCCATTTATTTTACTAATATCCGATTGCGACACGCTAATTTCGGTGCTTTCGCAATAGAAAAATATTAAAAGAAATAACTTTTTCAAATATTCAGTGTACAATAAACAACGCTGTAAATCTTTATTTTCTTGCGAAGTATAATTTCTACATTTCTCATTGAATTAATACTACGTATACTGCTTTTTAAATATTTTTTTTAGAGTTAATGACATCTGTTTAACAAATTGCCTTTATTATTAAAGAGTTTTTCTGTATTATTTTCTCAGTGTATCTTATTTCATTTCGATATTTTCAACGACATTAATATTGCATTTTGTATAATATTCATTACAACAATATGTGACGTATGGTATTGAAATAATTTTAAAAAACCCAGCGTTCACGAATATTATCTAATTAAATCTTAATTATAAACACTAAAAATACACTGGGAATTGAATGAATAATTTATTAAAGTATATATAATTACGATTAATTTGGTTATTGTTGTTGTAATGTTGTGAAATGCCCATCCAATGTTGTTTTGTTTGCTACTTTATACCACTTTATCTTTAACAATTCTCACAAGTTGTACAATATTTATTACTACGATATTATATGGCGATTGTCCTGAAATAATTTTAGAAAATCCAGCGTTCACGAAAATTATGTTATAGAATCCTTAATTATAAACGTTATTAAAAATACAATAATAATTGATAATACGGTAATAATTGAAAATTGTGTAATATCATTTTTACTTAACTATATTAAAAATTAAGCACGAGATTTGCGAATACACGTGATTCCTTAGAAATGATTTGATCAATATATTGTCACCCTTTTATTAACAATCGTATATTTCCGCAGATCATTGTCGCAGAGGCAACTCGGGTTCTTCCTTGTTCGCGAACTACAGCTGCGAATTCTGCGGCAAGATTTACAGGACTAAGGGTTCATTGAAGTACCATCGGAATATGGAATGCAGGAAGGAGGCTAATTACGCCTGTACCTTTTGCAAGTACAGATCTCGTAGGAAAAGCAATCTGCGTAGACATATGATGTTGCACTATCGCTTCAAGTAACTTACATCCGTTTGAAACACTTGACGTCGCATACGCTTCTCTGTATACGACTCTATCCTATTATATAATCATAATAAAAACTAAGCCTTGTTTTTATAACTGGCCGTTTTATTTCTTCTCTCCATCCCGATTTTGCGAAAATATAATTTACGAAATTTCCTCAGATTTAAATGCAGATAACGTAAAATTTTTATGGATAAAATATATTCGCAATCGTAATATTTTATCCATAGAATTTTACTCTGTTGTCTATGTTATTTACACATCAAAGTTTTATGTCATTTCAGTTATCTGCGGATAAGAACTTAAAGGCAAGTAAGTAATTCATTGCAATTTTATATGCTTTCTATCTCTAAGGAGACAATTGAACAGTAGTTCATCTATTTTCGGTTTTTTTTTCAGGTAAGCGGCTTAGTCGTCGCAACAAGATGATCGTCACTCCGTATCAATGTATCAAGAGACACGGTAGTTTCTAACTCCAAGTAAGTGCTTCAAATACCTCAAGACACCTCTGGCTCGCTTTCCAATCATCGCCAGATTTACAACAAGATGAAGAAGAAGATGCACTTGTTGCAGCTATTATAGTTAATAGCTATTATAATTAATCAATTGGAAGAAATTATGCATTGTATATTTTTACGATGCAAGTTGATCATACGAAAAGTACAAACAAATCGAATAAGAAAAAATTAACCAGCAAGTGTATATTTTACTTAAAATGATTTCCCAGATATTTTTTAAATATAATATTAAAAATAAAAAAAACATTAATAATTCTATTTTGGTTATGTAAACATAAATAAACATTATGAAATGGCTTTATTATACAATAGTTGTTCAAAGAAAGTTATGTTTAAAATTACTGGGAATTTTTATTATCGGTTAAGAAGAAATTTGCTACAGTGCTAGAATATAATAAAAGAGTTATTATTTCCTATTTAAAAACGAGCTGTGATCAATCTCTTTTGATCGTGTACTTATTTTGTGTATGTACATTTTTTTGGACCTTCTCTTTGACAACATTTCCCAGTTATTCACGAGTTATTGAAATTAATATAATATTTATAATTAATTTAAGGTTTCTTTCCTAATCACGTTTATCCTTCCATTGTATTAAGTTTCGAATACTTTCGACATTTTTTTTCTTTAATGAAACGCAGAAATGCAATAATAAAATTAAAATTTTTCGGAATTATGAAAATTTTTCTGAAATTGACGCGGTACTTACGACTAGTTTAAGATTCGTCGAATTCGGTTTATCCCACGATTACATTAAGGATATGCCCCACAGATCTCTCGCTAATGATATTCCAGGACTTATCGAGGACAAGCACGAGTCGCATGTTTGATTTCGGTGGCACGGAGCCTTACAGTGGAACAGTAAGACGGTGGAACTGACCTAAAGCTATTTCTTCTCCCATTTGCAGGTATGGCGATGTACGAGATCGACCTAACGGAGGAGGAATCCATGAATCTGTCAATGCACGCGCAGGAGAAAATAGCGATGCCGTTCGCCGAGTTGAAGATACCGAAAGCTTGGAACTATGTCAATAAGCCGACCGGCCGTTACGCCTGTGCCAGATGCGGCCGTTCGTACAGGAGGAAGGACTCGCTGCAACGGCACGAGCATTGGGAGTGCGGCAAGGAGCCGCAGTTTAAATGTCCGTATTGCCCGCAACGTTGTAAGCGCAAAGCACACTGGCAGCGTCACATACGTCGCCAGCATCAGGATAAAATGGATATGGAGACATACTTGGACTCCAACATGCCGAAAATAGAGATTGATTGATCTCGATCAGCAGATCGTGATCCAATAGATTGATCTTAATCCAGGGCGAAGGGCGTTTTCTTTTGGTGTAAAATCGTGCGATAAGAATCCGAAGGTTGTTTTACTCGATACTCGGAAAAGAAAGATTTAAAGAGGCACTTAATGCATACGTGATATCGTTTTGGCGATCCTTCATTAGTAGATATACATTACGGAAATGTTGTTGGGACGATAAAGATTTGACAGAATTTTACCAGGTATTTTACAATTGCTGTTCACATATTTGAGAACGCGTTGTAAGATGAAAGATAAATCAAAACTTCATCAAACTTAGTTATGCATATAACAGTTCTACAAATTGACGTATAACCGTCTTTAAACCCTTTTATTTCAATAGAACTTATCTCAAATAAATTTTCATGAAAATTTTATTTAAGTATCAGAGTAAATAATTTAATCTCTTTCAAAATTGTAGGACATTGTTATATCCAAAGTACAAATTTTTTAGTATTATACTAAATTTTTTTTAATATTTAGAGTGTATTTACATGTCTAAAACTTTAAATTTCCGTTCGAAGTACCGGCCCATGGAACGTAACAATTCCAGCACGCCTCTCCTATTTCAGAAACTGTCTAAAAAATTTTAATGCTTCTTCCGGAATGCTATTAAATGCTGCCGACGATTCTCCAGAAAGAAAAAATGGGCTATACATTAATTCGCGACTTTTCTTTCTTTCGATAAATAAAGCAGCAACATAAAGGAAGGCGTTTTGCTGGCAGTGATATAGATGTACAAGATGTTTCAGCAAGACTCGCTGGCAGCCCTTACCAGTATTCCAGAAGAATTCAGACAGTGTGTTTTGAAGTGGAAAAAGCGCTAAGTTTTGGGAAGTACAATACTTTGAAGGGAATTTAATTTCCAGACGTGTACATAGAAGTACACTTTAAGTATTAAAAAAAAATTTCATAATTTGGACTCATACGTAGATATATACATGCATTATACATATATATATACATATATACACATATACATGTACATATACGTATATCACATATGTATATTATGTATGTTACACGTCTGCATATATTTCAGATCACCATATATTTGTTTTTATAACTTTTCGTCTGTGCATAAACTCATTGATGAAGACTTACATATACATTTACATATATATACTCATTAGAAATTAAGATTAAAACAAGCTTCATGTTAGCTTTAGGTTAGGAAGTTTTGCTAGACGTATTTTGATTTTGTCTGAAGATATTTCATTTATTACATTAATCATCGATAATGATTTGCCAATGTGTTTAATTAGTGTCTGTGTTTCATTTCTCAGTTTGTAATGTTCGATTGGTAATTTGATTAGCAGGTTGATAGCTTAATCAATTTATCAGGTAATTATTATTATTATTCAGAATGATTTATTTCGTATTTTAGGTCCTCATAAAACCCAGTGCCTTCGATGTATATCGATTGTAATTAGTTACTAAAATAATAAGTGCCATTTAAGACCAAGATTCCCCTTACGCCAATGAGAAAAACTCTGTGTTTTTCTCTCCAATGAAGAACGAGCAAAAAGGAAAGAGAAATAACAAAGATGGGAAGATGATATTTGTTAGGGAATTAATTTTAAATCGTTAGTGTATAAGTAACGATCGATATTTTTATATATTAATATAAGACACGTAATGAGTGAACTTATTAAGACTGATAACATTGTGTAAGTCATGCCATTATTACTATCTCAATTATGGACTGAACATGTAATTTCGAATGAGAAATAACTGGTGTGTTTGAAGGAAATAAATTTATATGAGCATCATATCGAACTACCCCGTGATCCATCTTTGTTAGTCGTTAGCAGTTATATTATTTTTATAAATAATCAATCCATACGATTGTTAGGAAAATTATCCCCCACAGTATTCATCAACCAATTCGTAATTGTAGTATAAAATCGACAAATGCATCCTTGACGACCCAATTTTATCCTTGCAGCTTACAAACGTATGCTAGTATATCGTATTTTATAATATTTATCCTAAGTTAATTGATGACATAGAAATTTATACACCTATGATTTAGAAAAGGACAACCATATCAGCAAATAACTTGCACCTGTAAATTTTCAATTTCAAGCGAAATAGTTGAAATACGGTCATCCATTATCTCACATCGGCAATTGAATCGAGAGCTACAATTGGCATTCGCAAGAATAATCATGAATAAATAGTTATTGGAATATGCGTAAAGTAAATGAAGCATGAGAAAACTCAACAAATCCAAATAGTTGTAGGTTACAAGCATTTCTCCTTTGTAAATAATCGATCTTATTGCATATCTTCGATTGGTTCAAAGCATTGTTAGCGAGAGCTATTTAAGCAACTGAGTACACCCTTGACATCTCTTATCTCTTTCTCCTGCCTTCTCCACCTGTACGATATCAGCGGAGTAGCATGCGCACTAACCTTTCTCAAGTCTTGTATATAGAAATGCCACTTACGTATCGAACTTTCATCGCTTGCGCATCGAAAGGAACATTCACCGTTCAACTGGCACCATTTCCAGTTCTAACGGAAACGTTACAGATCTACCTAAACGACCTGGTCAGCCTCGGATCTGTGAATGTTACTTTCGTAACATGCAGTTACTGCTCCTTCCTCGTATGCGAAGCTCATAACTAGCTGCTTGGGGCTCGAAAGTAGGGACACGAAGGACACGCAATTTTTTTCCTCTATCCCCTTGACTGAGTGATCAACGTCGATCGTTGCGTCGATGCACCTGCGATCGAAGATGGGCCGCGAGACTCGCAAGGATCCAGCGATCCCCAAGCGTGGCTCCTCTTCGAAATGGCTTTCTTTCTAGGACACGCCGGGGAGATGGCCCTCCGCTACCGACGACAACCTCGAGCTCTATCTACTTCCCTCCGAACTATTTTTTCAATATACATGAACAAGGATCCACCCACAGATATAAGGGAGAGAGAGAAAAAGAGAAAGAGAGAGAGAGAGAGAGAGGGAGAGAGAGAGAGAGAGAGAAAGAGAGAGGGAGAGAGAACGAGAGAGAAGAGAAAAGGCAGACGTGGACCGTACGACGTCGAAGAGGCACGTCGAGGTATCGAATCAACGAGCCATCGACACACATCTCTAAAGCCCCGTCCCCTAGCCGCTAAGCTCTAATTCTTAAGCCGAAAACGGGGAACGACGGTCGGATACTGTCGGCCGCGTTTCCCACTCGAGCGCTTGGCAACGCAATAAAGATTTCGCCTCAACCGATCGTGCGTTCGCGTGGGACACATACTAATAAAGCCGGGGATCTTGTGTTCCAGCCGAGGACCTGAGCATCACTGGTCTCAAGTGGGCGGCAGCCTGGCAGCGATGGAGCGTGCCGTCGATCATGTGGCGATCTGGAGCGGGCTTGGGCAAGGGCCTGGGCTCCAGCTTGTCTAACCCGGAGGGTTTCAACTGTCCGGCCTGTGGCAGGGTCTACAAGCTGAAGAGTAGCCTGAGGAATCATCAGAAGTGGGAGTGCGGCAAGGAACCCCAGTTTCAGTGTCCCCATTGCGTCTACAAGGCGAAACAGAAGATGCACATCGCGCGGCATATGGAGCGAATGCACAAGGAGAAGATCTACAAGCAGGAACTTGTGTAAGGTGATGAGGGGGAGGAGGATGGACGTCCAGTGCTCGTCGTCGACGTCGTTCCACGGGTGCGATCGCGCGCGGGAGAGACCACGGTAGATCAAGAGGAACGGAAGAAGAGATACACCACGAAGAGGAGACGCGTCTCTCTCGCGCACGATCGACGACCGGTATGCACGACTTCGAAAAGAGCAAATGGAGGGGGGGGGGGATAAAATTAAGAGGAAGGAACTTGAAAAGAATTCGAAGTTGGTGTACAATTGACCTTGAGACGAGAACGATAATTGATTAAAGCTGACGAAGGTGAGCGTCGAGACTTCTGCTTCTCGGGAGAGGGGACCGCCCATCCCCTCATCTCGATCTTGGATTCATATTTTTTTTATCCTTTTTTAAGGTTTATTATTATGTGAATCAATTGATTAATTAATTAATTATTATTTTTACGTAACGAGATATAGGCCGCGTGTAAACAAGAGAACGCGTCAATTTCCCGCCCGGGGCGCACTTCGTATGGCCTAGGAACTTCATCCTCGAGCCCGCCGGGACAACATGCTCCTCCATCGGTTTGTGCTCGACAGATCGCTCGCTCACGCGCGTCTCTTTTTTTTTTTAATGTTTAAACCGCGATAACGACGCGATGTGCGAAATCACGAGGGCAGAACACGAACGATCGACCATCCGTTAGGTGCATTATTCGTTTTTGACATCCGGTAGTGAGGCGATCTCGTGACAAACGCGGGCTCGAGGGTCGCGATCGTCAGGAAGAACTTTTCTTCAGCGCATTTCTTCTTTCCTCCGGGGCCCGCCTCGGGTAGGACTGAGACCGTCCGGTAAACCGGAGCTCTTCCATAGCAACCATTCTGGTCACACTGGTTCCATATTTTTAAACGGGCGTAGCCGTGCGCGTGTGGCTCACTGGGGACATCAAAAAAAGAAAAAGAAACCGAGAAAGAGAGAGGGAAGGAGATGCGAGAGTGGGTGAGAGAAAGCGAATATTCCGGAGAGATCCGAAAAATGCGGCCACGTCAGCAAAAAGTCCGTCGACCCGATATACAGTACTCGCGCGATACATTGATAACGTACGACTGCAAGCCACGGAGTCAGTATCAACGCTAAAGTCGCTCTTAGGACAGCCCTGAATCCTCAGAGGCTGTCTTCGTAGGCGAACCAGAACTTCACCTCTTTCAGGCCAGACCAGCGGCTACGCGGTAAATTTTTATATTATGCAATAACGGCGGGTGCGAGTGACAGGTTGGAGAGCGAAAGTGAGCAAAGGTTGAAAATCTCATCGCTAACTCACACCGCTTGTCATCTCGACTCATTCCGCAATCTGTTTTCGATCGCCAATTATTACACTTGTTTCTCGTTTTGGAGCAGTTTATTTCAACGCGACTTGATTATAACAATGTCAAAACGCGAGTGAAACAAATCCCTGTAATATAATTGCTTTACTGAAACCGGATTTAAAAGGAGTCTTGTGAATGGCAAAATGGCTCTTCCAAAGTTTTCGCTTATCCTGTTCGGATCTACTCGTTCGTCGTTGCATTGGACATACGCGATTAATCCAGTGAGACATTTATTAGGGATTCTTTTTAATATATTTAGAAAGTATCTAAAAAGATATATTAAAATTTTTTTAGTAAAAATTTTATAATTATTTATGAAACTTGCAGGCAGGTGTTTATAAAATTTTATTGAGTTTATTTTGGGATATTTAGAGTAAAACTTACGTGTATCATTAAGAGAAACTTATGGCAAAATTTATTACAAAATTTATTGTGAAATTATTTTTTTGGTGTATAGTATATTTATATATATGTATAAAATATTTATTACGGAGAGATATATATTTCGTAAGTTATTTAAAAAAAATTCTCGCGAAAGTGTTTTTATAATAATTTATCCACACACATTTGATTTCCCCGACTCTAATCATTTCGTGGTGTTTCGGATGAACGTTTTCGCAACGAAATTATATTATTAAAATTGAAAAGAACGCGCGAATATATACTATATTTTATTATATATTAAGTTAACGTATTCATGTACCGTTAAATGTAACATTAGTCACTCGTACTACTAATTTTAGATCTAGGAATTATTCTAAAAGTGACAGAGAAACGAGAAAAACCGCATTAAACGGCCTGAAAGTGGTGAAGAAGTTTCCACAGTCTTGTCCAGGCAAGACAGCCATTTACACTATATTCCTCGCAGCGATGCAACCACAAGTAAACACAGTATTAGGCACGGATTCGCGCGGATTGTCCCCCGCATTTCGTTATGCTTCCTACATACATACTCGACCATACCCGCATGCTAGTAAGGAGAGATAGAGAGACAGACAGAGAGAGGTATTTCCATGTACGTACCCACACGTATATGCCTACACGCAAACTCGCGCGTGGGCGCGCGAATACGCGTGCACGCGCATCCGAACATGCATATACATACATATACACACGTATATATTTATATACATACATATAGATATATTGTATTGCCCACACTACCGCGAGGTATTCCTACAGCATTGTGATCGCCAGACTGCCAGATACACAAACGTAGATTCCTATATGATGCATTTAAGAGTATATATATTTATATTATGTAAAGCGTATGATTAACTCCTTTTAATTAAGCGTCCTCGTTAAGGCCCCTCGCGTATTCTTTCACACACACACGAGTCTTTATTTTCTCCTCTATCGCATTTCGATCGCGCGCGATCGGGTCGACGGGCATGACGAACGGCCGTGTACCGAGTACGGTACCGCAATTCCTTGCAACATTCGAGACGATCCTATAAATGCTAATAGAGCATCTCAATAGTAAATTCAATTCCTTTTTTGTTTTCGATAAAAGTGATGAATGCTTATTTTTTAATATCTATACTTTTCTTCCTCGTTAATTCGACAGCGATATTTCACAAATTTAAAAATAATTCCCTTTCCTCATTACTTTTTTAAATTTACGTGATAGAACCATCTTTCACAATTCGATTATATGCAGATTATAGGCAAATACTAGGCTTTGTTGATTGATTACATAATTTATTAAATCGCATGTAACTTGTGACATTTTACGAAAGAATTGATTACCAAGTAAATTAGTGAAAGCCAGTCCTTTTCAGCTTTTACTCTCAAACGGTCTGTTAAAGTTTGATTTTTTTTTAGATAAAAATTCTTAGTCGATCATTTAATTGAAATTGGATCAACCGATCCTTACGAATGCGTAATTTGTATTACCAATTAATCCGCAACGTCGATCAAATTGATTTCAATTCAGGTCGGCACGTGAAACTGTAATACCCCTCTTTACTTTTCGCTTCGTTTGTTTTATTTGTTTCATACAAAAATCGCGCTGTATGTTAAAAATAAAAATCAACAGGGCTTAGCGCTGGACATACGACGAGAGTACGGGCTCTTCTGCTCGGTGTAATCTGCAATATAATGAAATATCGGGTGTTCGAACAGACTCAGGTATGCGTGCTCGGATGCTATCTGGCACCAGGTCCCGTATTCCTACGCCACGCCAAATACGCGCGCCACGGCCGCCCGACTTTCCATACTGTAGACAATATTTATGAGACAAGCTAAACTATACTACTACTACTATTATTACTATTACTACTATTACTCGTAACTCATGTATACAGTTAAGTATGCGCGACGGCTGAACGCGAGCGAAGCGATAGATTTAGTTTCCCTTTTTCTTGTTGGGCGTGCGAGCGATCGCGCGCTCCTCAGCGAGTGGCGCTCGCGATCGATCTTGAAAGAAAGTCGTGACGGAGTCTCGATCCCCAGTCAAGCGGCGGAATTTCACCTCCCTTAGGTGGTCCCGTCCCACGAAATTTCCCGGATTACTTGAGAGCGCGAGGGCAGACCTCGCATGAAATGAAACTGTAACTTACTTATACGAACATCGTGGGCGTTAATATTTCTAGGACTTCATGTGTGAGTACATAAAAAAAAAGAGATTTATGTAATACTCGGAGCAACACGTTTTCATGCATTTTCAAAATAACTATATGTGCGAATTGTGATTCAGATAAGTCAAGTAAGTTTTGTTTTCCATTATACTGTCTCAAAATGCAGCTTATTTAAAGTTTACGAAAATATCCTTGCATATTGCTGACCATTCGAAAAATTCATAAATTTCAGACCTATAAGATGTATTAAGATATGTTGCTCTATGACGCGAAATATTTTACACGAATTGGAACTTTCCTTTAACGTACAAACAACACGAGTTACAGTCCTTGCACTCTCCCTATTTCAAACGGAGGAATCCTTATAGACAATAATACGCATCCAGGAAACGCATAGTGCTTTAAATTCTCGACGAAGTTTCTTAATAATCCAACTTCGAATATCAATTATTAAAGAGATGAGACGAGACATCTTTCATTTTTGAAAGTATATACATAGTAATAAATTTAACAAATTTAAAGTTGATCGAAATTCATTCTAAGAGATGTCATGGATAAAATATTTTCGACAAAAGCGTACGGAAACGTTGTTACATATCGTATAGTTCATCGTCTAATTCAATCTGTTTTCAATGTTCAATCTGCCTGATTCAACCGTAATTATTGACTAATCACTTAACAGAGAAACATTTCCAATTAAACAAGTATATTATTGAAAGCATGTATATGACTTTCGCGATACTGTTTTGTTTAACGAAAAAAAAAGATTAGAATGATTCGCAATTTCTTTTTCGACTTCGATATTTAGTAGGCAGAGTATTTAAAATTAATATTTTTGGACGATGTCGTATGAAAACGAAAAAAACTTTGACTTGACTTCCTGGATGACATCAGCTCCATAGTTTGGAGCCAGATCGTAGGCCAGAAGGACTCGTCTTCCGTCCAAGTGCAATAACTACTGATAATCTATCCTTTCGGTCCCGCGCTACTAGAACCACCGCGATCCGCGTGGTCTCTTTGCAAATAATCGGCGATAGTTTCGCTTCCCAGACTTCGTCCGGTCGATCGATAGTGGCCGCACGCTGATGCGTATCATATAGTAAGCGAACAAAAGATTAAGGCATCAGAAAAGAAAAATAGAAAGGGAGAAAGAGACATATAAGAGAGGGAGATCTCACTAAGGGAAAGGGAAAAGGTGTGAGAATGAAGCGATTTTGATCGGGGGTGCCCGACATTCACTCGTTCGCCGATTGCCGGGTGTTAATGAGAAAGGAAGATCTAATGCCGAAAATCGTTAATGGACGCGAGGCGCATTATACGGGAACGGGAACGGGTATAATGTTGATGGTGACGACGAAGAGAGAAAGGAAGGGAGAGATGTGGTCGACGATGATGACGTTACGTAAGCAGTTAAAGAGAGCGGTGACATGGTAGACGATAAAGTTAATCGATAAATATGATTATGGATCGATGATACATAGTTATTGAATGATAATTGATAATACTACTGCCTCACGAGGCCTTGATGAATGGCGGCGGTCGAGAGAAGTACGATTAAGAAGGTTGAAACTGGCTATAAAGCGACACACCGTGCTCGGGACAGTGTCTCGTGAGGGTAATGCCAACGGACCGCCGTCATCGACGGAGATTATTAGATTATTAGGAATATAAGAGTACTATTAGGTAGGTCCTAGCTCTTAACGACTCTTTTTTCTATGTTTTTTCTAAGAGGAAAGGAAGGAAGCGCGCGCCTAGAGCGTTTTTCTTTTCCCGCGAGAATTTGTGGTCGCGCCGATCCGAAGAGATGTGTAGAGAGTGTAAAGGATATAAATAGAGAAGATAGATCGAAGGCAAGAATGAGAGTGCCAGCGAAAAGAATTATCGTGTGGACAACAACGAAAGTGATACTTATAGTGATAAAATCGGGAGTAGTAAGATATCGTTCGGTAAAAATAATGGGGGGAAAACACATGGATTAGGAAAATACATGGAGAATAAGAAACTTGCAGATAGCGATGCGACGGTTACTTCTGTGTGAAATCGATATTGTTTTTATCGCTTGGCTAATCGAGGACATTTTTTTTCTCAATGAAACAACTAAATCGGCGGATTTCAGGAAAAATCGCGAATCGTGAACCGTGTGCCTTATTATTACATTAATTAAACTTTACGGCAAACGCACTGAAATTATACCTTTTTTGGAAATATGTAAAGTCAAACAAAAGATAGATGAATATTTTTCTATATACAGTTGAAGAAATTTACTTGAAAGGGAGACTATATTTTTCTCATTTTGACAAATTAAATTTTGTATACATTTAAGTTTGAATTCCACTTTTGGATACGAAGGAAATAGCGAAATAAAAACAAAATTTAAAGTATGTTAGAACGAAACAATTCTCTTTAAGATCTTTAATCGGATTTATCTAATTGATCCTAAAATACACAAGATATAATAATCTATGATTCCGCCGATTTGACCAATTTGACCAGTTTGATGAGATTCATGAATTCTTACGAAAACGATCAGATCTACTGAAAGTTATGAAGATGAAGAGACGTTACGTTTATGCATTTCTTTACTTTCTATTGATAAGTCGCTTGTTATCGTAAATGCTGTGCCAAGTTTCTATAAGTTGCTTCTAGGAGCCGAGCCTATTTCTTTACTTGTTGATCGAGAATTCACCGATCCATGGATAGTGTTATTATTTCAGCTTATAACTAAATAAAAATATTCTTTTGTTTATATCTTTTTAGCTTAGCAGAAAAGCATATTTTCTTTGCTGATAAACAGTCTGAAATTATTGATTGAATTATGGTCTTTTGACTCGTTTTTTAAATTCGAAATCTAAAAGATAAATTCATCAATGGTTTTTCTATATAAAAAATTAATTGTTTATATATGAACATGTGTGCGTGTGCGCGCGCGCGCGTGTGTGTGTGCAATTAATATTAGAATCAGAACGGTTCTTGAATAAATATCTTTAATTCATGTGAGATAAATCTGTTATCAACTGCATGCATTGTTATTGTCAGGTAACATTCTCATAACGGAGAAATTAATACTCTATACCATGTGATCGGAGCTTTAAGGAAATAATATTAATAACGTTACAGGCTCGTAACATATTTTCCCTCGCTAATTGGATTTAATTTGGATTTAAGTGAATTATTACACATTAATGAATAGAATAAGAAGAGAACGTTAGAGACAAGGAATATGTGATGGATATTGATCGAACCGCGGATATTCTTCCTTCGTTGTATTCTTTCAAGATATTCGACTCGTTTTCTCTTCGTTCGATACGTCTGCACGCACTTACGGCGGCTTGCACACTCTCGCTTAGCTTTGTTCAAAATTTCAGCAGAAAGGAAAAGAAAGTAAACGAATAAA